AAAAAAGACTGCTCAGCTCCTGAGATCTGAGTTTTGGTAGCACTCTACTTATCCTGACTTTGGAGTTGGCCTTTACTCTTAAGTTTTCTTAAGCCTAAAGGGAAAGAATGCAGTGGTCTTGATTATTAAGGCATCCTGTGAGGGAGAATGGTGGTAAATGTTTAGGAATCATGACAGGGAGAGGATAAAGGGAGAGATAAACTTTTAAGAGGTTCATTTTCCCCCGTAGTGATCAGGGTTTTGCTATACTTGCTGTCACTGTCCTACAACCCCACACAACTTTTTTCTTTTTAATTTGTTGCTTAAGGTTTGGGGTTTGTTTTTGTTTTTGTTTCTAATTGCAGTACTGTAGATTGAACCCAGGAGCATTAGTACCACCCTCATTGAAGGCTCCAAAATAACAGTTTTACTTCCATTTTGACCCTCTTCCAACCCTTTTTCACACTGCAACTGGAGTGAGCTGTTTAAAATATAAATCTGACTGTATTCCTGTTGCTTAAAACTCTTTGTGGCTTTTTGTTGTTCTTAAGATAAAGCAAAATTCTTGAAATGGCCTATAGGACTCTGCAAGCATGATGGCTTTTTATATTTTTTCCAGCCTCTGGGAATTTAACCTAGGACATTGCCTGCCACCAAGCTATGCCCCCACCCCTTTTTAAAATTTTTATTTTGAGGCAGGATTTTGTTAAGTTACTAAAGCTGATCTTGAATTTGTATTCCTCCTGCCTGAGCCTCCCATGTCACTGGGATTATGGGTTTGTGCCACCACACCTTGCTAATTCAGTTATCATTTAATCAGTGTCTGTCTTTCCATAAGAAGAGAGACCTCACTGGTTTTGCTTGCTATTGTATTGCCAGTGCTTAGGATAGATCTCAATTCACACACACACAAACTCACATATTTGTTAAATTACCCAGTGAATCCATGAATGAAAAGGGCAGGTGAACCATCCAGAAAACATGAATACAGATTATAATGTAGAGTCTCACCATTTAATTGTTATAAAACTTTTAAATATTTAGAGTCTTGAGACTATAAAAGGATCCTCAGGTCCCTTCTTTTTATCAATAGGAAACTGAGGCCCAGATTGCTAAAGTGACTTGAAAAAGTCCCCAGGCTATTTAACAAAAAAACCAGTACTATTGCTCAGATCCTCTGACCACTAATCCAAACATTCTCTGTGGTTGAGTCATGGCTCTTCATACATTTCCAGAAGGAATACAGAAGCAAAGAATTAGAAAAAACCTTAGGGGCACTGAATTGGCCTGACTGGAAACCATTCTTTACCATATCTAAGGGATAGGGTGCTCATTTTAACAGTTGTCCACATAATGCTTATTTTGTCTTTGATGTGACAATAATCCTAATCCCTTTTACCTCAAGTAACCCTTAAAATATTCAAAGACTCTATTAATGTTTGTTGTTTTCTGGGCTAAATATCTTATATTAGTTGTTAATAGACACAACCATCTTGACTTAATGTTCATCTAAGGGCCTTCATATTTGTTCATGATTTTTTTTAAGACGAGGAATTCAAAACTAAACTCAATTGGACTGAATTCACAATACCAGATATCATGTGATCAGAAAGATTATAGGAAACTACAGTAGTCTCTACTTTCCACAATTTCACCTACTGTGGTCAACCATGGAACAAAAATATTAAATGGCAAATTTCAGAAATAAACAACTCATAAGTTTTAAATTATGTGCCATTCTGCATAGTGTGATGAAGTTTTGAGCTATCCCACTCTGGTTGCCCTGACATGGATCTTACCTTTTTTATCACTTGGTTCCTGTCTTGGTTGTCATACTTGGAGTGCTTGTATTGGGGTTACTCTTGTTTTACTTAATAATGGCCCCAAAACATAAGAGTGGAGATACTGGTAATTTGTATATGCCAGAGAACAGTTAAAGTGCTCCTTGAAGTGAAACGATGAAAGTTCTCTGCTTAATAAGAAAGAAAATTCTAAGTTGAGGTTGCTAAGATATGTGGTAAAAAAAAAATCTCTTGTGAACTTATGAAGAGAGAAACATACATTTGTGCCAGTTTTGCTGTTACACCTTAAAGTGCAAAAGCTACAGCAACATTATGTGATAAGTGCTTAGATTAGATGAAAAAGATGTTGAATTGTGGGGTTTGGTACTGTCTGTGGTTTCAGGCATCCACTGGGAGTCTTAGAACATATCCAGGGAGAAGACCGGGACTACTGTATTTGTTCTGGTCCTCAAGAGATGCTTTAATATACATATATGGTTTGGTGGCCAGGCCATGGGGTTTGGACAGACTTTGGTTTCCATACTGATTAAGGGCTGTTGTCTAGATTCAATAAAATAATCCAGGTGATCTCTTAGTAGTCCATTGGCTGGTTCATACAAACCTCAGTGCATTTTACTTACTATTTTTGTCACTGATGTTGTCAGTCTAAATTGAAAAAATGATTCTCTAAAAAACAATGACATTTATTTGGGAATAGAGGAGCATTACAATGTGAATACACATGCCATAGTCATTGAGACAAAGGAAATGTTTAAAAGCAAAAGTGAGGAAGATTACCTCAGATGTTTTCAAACAATAATCCTTGGCTGCAGTGATTAATAATGGGACTTTTATATATAATCGAATAGGCTCTTTTAACTGAGCCTGGTACACATATTTGACACACATAAATATTTACAGTCCTGAGGTTTGCTTTTGTTTGTTTTAGAGTTTTTTTATACTAGGGATTGAACCCAGGGTACTTTACCACTGAGTCACATCCCCAACCCCTTTCGATTTTTATATTGAGACAGGCTCTCACTGAGTTGCTTAGGACCTTGCTAAATTGCTGAGGCTAGCCTTGAATTTGTGATCCTCTTGTCTTAGCCTCCCCAGCTGCTGGGATTATCATCATGTCCCATTCTGCCATCCACCCTGCTTGCAGCCCTAGGTTTCTGATAGTATGTTTTTATTATTGTTTGTCTTCCTTTTCCTCTTATCAACACAGGTAAACAATAGTAGCATGTTCACAACAGTTCATGTATCTGGAGAGAAATAATAGAATCAGCACCTGGGTGAATGTTGTTGAAGATTGGAATGTTGCTCAGTGGTAGAGCACTTGCCTAGCATGTGTGGTGTCCTGGGTTCAATCTCCAGCTTTCTAGTCAATCAATCCATTATAAATAAGTAAATTATAAAATAAAATCTCAGGGCTGGGGTTGTGACTCAGTGATAGAGTGCTCACCTAGCGTGCTTGAGGCATTGAGTTCAATCTTCAGCACCACATTAATGTAAAATAAAGATGTTGTGTTCACTTAAAACTAAAAAATAAACATTAAAAAAATTAAAATTAAATTTCGTTAAATCTTCATGTATGTAATAGTACACATTCATGAAGTTTTAATGAGCATACATGAAGTATGTATGTTCTTTGATATTCTATTATTATTTCAGATATCTGAGTCACAGGGTATGGTCATGCATTGCATGCTTGTAATCCCACCAGTTTAGGAGGCTGAGGTAGGAGGACCTCAAGTTCATTTCCAGCCTCTGCAACTTAGCAAGACCCTAAACCATTTAGATAGACTCTGCTTCAAAATAAAAAACAAAAGGGACTGAGGATGTAGCTTAGTAATAAAGTGCCCTGGGTTTAATTCCCAGTACCAAAAAAACCAAAACCAAAAAACTTCATGTGTAATGCAATTTAGTTTAAATTTTTTAAATTATGAAAACTGCAATACTATACAACATAAAATAGTTGAAACCTATTATATACCCATCCCTAGATAACAGCTATCAAGATTTTGCCATATTAACTTCCTTCTTTAAAAATTTCTTTTGAAATATGTTAAAGCAAATCCCAGATATCAAGCATTAAGGGTTTATTAAGATTACAGTATTAATAATAAACAAATATCTTAAGACAAAACTTAAATTGGACATTTTCAAAATATTCAAAACATTCAAAACATCTCTGTGGAGTATGATTTGTTTGCCATTATCCACTTGCAGTCCAAGAGAAATTGTGAAAAAGATGTGTGAATGCTTTAAAAATAATTTCAGCAATGCTCAGATCTTTCATCCTGGATTAGGATTAGGAGGTAGGAATTGCAGGTCATCTATCTCTTGAGTTTTCTTTTTTAAATCATGTTTTCACTGATTCTATTATTACTTCAGATATGAGTCAGAAAAGCACTTAGTTTGTGCTTTATAAATATTTCATCATTTACACTTTCTATTATTTGCTTCATTTTTTTCTAGTAAAACCCAAATTAAGAAAAATCTTATTTTTCACAAGTGACCTAGAGAATTCCTGACCTAACCTAGAGATAGAAGTCTTAAAGAAGAAATAACATTGCTTTAAAGTTTGCATTTTAGTTAAGAAAGAAATATTTGTTTTTAAAGCCATTTTTGTATCTACTTTTCCCAAGTTGCTTTTTTATTTAGTTCTTTTGGTTTTAACACCTAGGATGTTTGAGCTGGTGTTTTGTTTTGTTCATTTGCTTTTTAAACAGTCTATTTAATTCTGTTCTATAGAATAGGTAATACTTGTGTTTTTAATGTCCTGAGTTTCAGTTCTTATTGTATAAAATTGTAATCCTGGAACTGTCAGGCTGGACCTGTGAACTATACCCATAGTGACCTGCCTTCCTTCAACTAGGTTATTGGTATCTGAAGATTCCTCCAAACCAGTTTTAACCTATAAAATGTTATCATCACATAATAGGCATTGCAGTAGACCCTTGCTCTACTTATCCTTCTTCTAAATGGCTGTATTCTTGGTATAACTGTTACTCATATCACTTGGATAATGCACATAGGTAATTTGGGATAAGAAAAGTTATTTTAGAGTGTAGTTTCTTTTCAGGCTGCACCGCCATCCTGGCTGAACTTTAGAGGTGCTTAATAAAAGTGAAGAGGGAAGAAAGAGCTTGCCATTTGTCTATGTGAATTCAGGTAGTACAGAATATTTACCAATGTCAGAATTATATTTAATAGATGACTTTTGTTTTGTTTTAGAATCACAAGAAGCTGATGAACACCTGGTAGCAGAAGTGGTTAAAAAATGTTCATCTGAGACTGGTTTTAGATCTTCAGCAAATGAAGAGCCACACCTGACCATTGATTCTCACTCAGTCAAGGATGTCAAAGAAGAACCTCAACATGATGTTAGCAAAATTTCAGTAGTGAGACCATTTTCAATAGAAACCAAGAATTCCATAGATATCTCTGCAGCTCTTGGAACAAAAGCAGCCCATGGCTGTGTAACCTTAGTCTCAGGTGAGGCTTTGCCCTCCTGTGCTCCAGAAGCCACCCAGGACAAGGCAATGACAGATGGCAGCATGGGGGTTACACTTGATGCTTCTGCAGAGTCTGATTTGAAAGCTGAAAGCTCTTGTTCAGAGCCTGTGGCCAGCAGAAGCAAGCTGAGAAAGCCGAAACCTATCTCCCTAAGGAAGAAAATAACTGGGGGAGCGTTCTCAGAAACAGAAACTGTCATGGAAGGCGCAAATCTCACCAAGGCACCATTCAATCCCAATGAATTGGATAAGAGCACACATCCTTCTTTGCTAGGAGATGCTGGAAGCCAGAAATCTCTCCCTGACGTTAACGAAACTTCAGGCACTCTCAATAGTGACACCAATGACTCCAAGGTTGAGTTGCAGGAAGAGTCAAGGAGTTCATCTCTCAATCTTGAATTTGATTTCACAGAAGACATGGAGAATGTAGAGGCCAGGAAAGGCCTTCCAAGGAAACTTGGCAGGAAACCGGGTAACAGACTGACTCCCAAGATACCAAAAGATGGCCTCAGTGAGCCAGTAGGTGTAGAGCAGCCTGCAGACCCAGCAGCCAGAGACGCCCCTCTCTCCCAAGTGTCTTCTAAGCTAGACCTTAGTCAGTGGGATCACCCCAGTTTTAATCCCTTTGGGAGCCACTCCATTCTACAGAACTCCCCACCCCTCTCCTCTAAGGGCTCCTACCACTTTGACCCAGATAACTTTGATGAATCCACGGATCCCTTTAAACCAACTACGACTTTAACAAACAGCGACTTTTGTTCCACCACTGGTAATCATGTTAATGACATCTTAGAGTCACCCAAGAAGGCAAAGTCGCGTTTAATAACGTGAGTGACAGTGGGTGCTGGGTGTTGTGTTTTGTGTATCTCTTGAGTTTGGCGGCCAGCTGCTTTTGGTTTTGGTGAACCATTTATCTTTGAGGTGCAGCGGGGCAGACACAAAGCTTATAACTTTATGCTGCAACCTTTACTATATTGCATAACTCCTGTGTAGAATCAGAAACTCTATAGAGATTTCCTTTGTAGATTTCTACCTTATTTCTGAATCCTCAGCTTATTTGGCTAAACTTTCTCTCCCCTCTCCCTATATATTTTTTATGATTAAATCAGATAAAAATTTGATGGTTTTCAGAAATCCTTGCTGGGAAGAATTCCAAGCCTACAAATACCTGTCTAGGTCAATTACTTGCAAAATGGTTCTTGTGGAATCTTTTTACTTAAACAGAAAGTAGAAACTTATTTTTGTTTTTTGGAAAACTACCATAAAATGTTGGTGAGAATTCTTGTCTCTATGTATAGTTTCTGGTTCATTAGCAAAAAGGAAAATTTCTGATAAGAATTTTTTTTTTTTGAGAGCAAAGTAACAGGATTTATTAGAGTAATAGGAAGAAAGCAAAGTTCCCAAAGAGGGAAGGTTCCCAAGAGAGGGATACTGAAAAGTGGCTACTATCTAGGGGTTCATATAGATCTACAGGTTTAAGGAAGTCAGCCCCTGCCAATCCTGGGTAAGGCACTCAGGGTCCACGAGATATTCATGCAGACTTTGGTCCACTCAAAATATCAACCAGGGGCTGGGGATGTGGCTCAAGTGGTAGTGTGCTCACCTGGCATGCGCAGCGCGCTGGGTTTGATCCTCAGCACCACATAAAAATAAAATAAAGATGTTGTGTCCACCAAAAACTAAAAAATAAATATTTAAAAAAATATCAACCAGGCATTTTTCTTTCTTTGGAGAGGCAGAGACCCCAGTCATGTAGGTCCTGATTTGAAAATAGCCTTTTTGTAAGTTTCTTAGCAAATATCTATAGGTGCTGTTTGCTTTACTGCCCAGGAAGTTATCCAGGGGGCTTTGATAAGAATATTTTAAATGATCAGTTAAATCTGAGTAAATTAGTCTTTTGTCATGTGCTCCTCCCACACTCCTCATTTCTCCCAGGATACCTGGATGGACTTTTGCATGTCTTTGGAGTCTCTGGAGTGATTCCTCTGGTGATATTCCATGTCAAGCTTCAGTTTAACTTTGTTATAGGATTATCTTATCTCACTAGTTAAATTGAATAAGTGACAGTTATAATCCTTTGTAACCCTGTGGCATTTTACTAAAAGTTAGACATAAAGAAGGACTCACAAAATGGAGGGTGAAATGTGAAAAGGGAGTATGAGAAGTATACCATATTTGTAGTTTTCATGAGATAAGTTGCAGAAATGCTTGTCAGCATTACTATGACTTATAAGAAAAATAACAGGTGGTGAGTTACACTGGAAAGGAAAATATATCCAGACGTTTAAAGAGAGCAGGTATTGGGCTAGGTTGTGGCTCAGCGGTAGAGCACTCACCTAGCACATGTGAGGCCCTGGGTTTGATCCTTAGCACTACATAAAAATAAATAAATAAAATGAAAATATTGTGTCCAACTACAACTAAAAAATAAATATTAAAGAGAGAGAGAGAGAGAGAGCAGGTATCCATTTCAAGACCAAAGAGGTTGAGGAATGTAGACGTTAGTTCTTCCACAGCCCTCTAGCATGTCTAAGAGGAATGAAATACCATTAGTAGCTCTGGATTTGTTCTGTGATTACATATGAACAGTTAAATGATTATTGAAAAATATTATTGATGGGTATCTATCTACACAGTTTACTTTTGTGGCTTTTAAGGTTAGGTAACTCTGTGTAGATCACACTTGGGGCATGTATTGGGCATGTTGCCACCTTGATACTTCCTACTCTAAATATGAGAAGCTTCTGCGTAAGAAGTCACTTGGGAGCCTTCTTTTCAGTTACATACTGAAGTATGTATATAGCCAGTGCACTCATGTTAATGGGACTAAACCTGGGCCAAAGAGGAGAAATTTTATTATATGCTTTATGTTCAGTACCAGGAACCACCCTCCCTTGAGTTCTACTATCTTCCCTCGGTAGCCTTTTCTTCCTATTCTGTTTTCATTAAATGAACTTCTCAATCTAATATACCTTTTATATATGTTTTTAAAATTCTTGTACAATCAAAACTCCCATTTTCTTTCTTCAACAAAGCAGTGCTAGCCAGCTTTTCTAATGTTAGGATTTTGGTTAGCAGGGCCCTTCATTTGTAGGAAAGACTGAAAATATAACATTTGGTGGTAGCATCTAGTGGATAGTTTTGCATGGCATTCAAAAAGACATGTACAAGAGCTGGCCATAGCGGTGTACTCCTGTAATCCCAGCAACTCAGCAGGCTGAGGTAGGACAGTCATGAGTTCAGAGCCAGCTGCAGCAATTTATCAAAGTCCCAAGCAGCTTAGTGGGACACGGTCTCAAAATAAAACATTAAAAAAAAAAAAAAAAAAAAAAGGTCTGGGGATGTGGCTCTGTGGTTAAGTGCCCTGGGTTCAATGCTTGTACGCGCCCCCACCCCTCCAAAAAAAAAAAAAAAAAAAAAAAACGATGCATAAGATTGACTTCTGGATTCCTCTATAAAATGGAGACACCAGAATATGAGCGGAATTTTGCTGACCAAATAAGATAAATTATGTGAAATAATTTTCAGCTTCTTAGTGATAGATACCTATTGTAGAGATATCTGGATATCTTTTCAACTGTATTTTTGTTTGCCTTTGATCTGGATGACTTGACAGTTTAGAATAAACATGCTCAGTAGTGAAATATTATTTTTAAACATTACACATATTTGGAAAGTTTACTTCTCGTCTATAAATTGAGTATGTGGCATTTCTCAGTATACCATTCTCTAAGTCCATTAGACATGAGGTGCTATTGATCATTCACTCACTAGTGCCAACATTCATGAAGATGTCATTTTTAATTTGTATCTCACCTCATAGAAAGTACTATGCAACTTTTACATTTACCAGAATAAGATAAATATTCTAGTCTTCACATGATTTTTTTCTACATCTGTCTGTCTCTTTCCTGTCTCTAATTTTGTTGGTGCATCAGGACTACTGAGCAAGTGAAATTTCTCTGTTTTCTGTTGTAAGTACTTTTGCTGTTGTTTCTGTTTGTCCCTGGGACTGTTGGCAGTTTCCTCTCCCACTCCTGCTCCAACTATCTTTCCATAGCATGTTGGCTTCTATTTTTGAGTTTGATCTTTTGATTATTATTATTTTGCATTTCATTTGCCACTTCATAAGTCAGCTTAGCATTGCAATTGTATGTACCTAAAGGAGTAGAGATGCCCTACCCACCTTAGGTGCGAGAGCTTACGCCCCCGGCTTGGCACACGTCATGTGGCGCTTTAAATACCAAGAGCTGGCTTGGCCTTAGGATCATCACAGCAGTGGTTTGAGAGACTGCTCTGCTATTTAATGTTGTAAATAATTGGATTTTTTTGATAGGATAAGGCTGCTGACTTGGAGCAGGTAATTATTTTACTGATAAATTTTATTGAGTCAACTCAAGTTTGGTGGCAGTGGGTAGCACTTAGATATTAGGGAAAGAAGACCATGAACAAAGTGGTTGTGCACATTGTATTACTTTACATGCTTGTTTTAAAATTTTTTTCCCACCAAAGAAAAGCAAGTTATAAATAATTCTTTTCTTGGTCAGCGTGGTATTTTTACTGATATTTTTCAATTCATTAAAACAGAGCAGAATCTGAATTAGTCCTGTGATCACAAATTATGTGCTAGTCTAAAAATAACAGGTGGTCCCAAGTTTTCCACTGTTCTAGACTTTGTATAGTACATGGTGTTCATCTTTTATCTTACTCCTTAATAAGAATGATAACAATTAATTAAAATACTTTCATACCTTGTTTACCACAGTTCTTTTCTGTAAGCACCTAGGTCTAGACTGGAGCTGTCTTACGAGGCTTCTGTTGGCTTTTAGTGCAATAAAGAATTTTCAAAGAATCTCGTCCAGCGTGATGATTTTTCTGGTAAGCGTCAATGCCTAGTGAGTAAAGACAAGAAGAACCAAATGTCTAGCTGCAAGGCTATCTCATCTAAAATGATTTTGGTGGTGTACAATTAAAGATGGTAGGGGTCAGAGTACTGATGTTTGACGACACACAGAAACAAGTGAAGTGGTCTTTTCAGAGAAGGAACCCAGCTGTCTTTCTTTCCTCACCCTGTCTCTTTGGAGAAGATTCAGAGGCAGCAAAGCTGTCTCTACATCTCTACCGTGCAGGTGTATGATTTGTGTGGTGCTGTATGCTTTGCTTTTCTCTGCACACACTGCGCTTTGCTCCATCTCATACCTTGAAAGTTGGCATTGTGATTCCAAACTGTCCTGTTGGTCTTTTTTCTCTTTCCAGGAGTGGCTGTAAGGTGAAGAAATACGAAACTCAGTCTCTTGCTTTGGATACTTGTTCTCAGGTAAGACTGTGCCTGTCACCAGAATGTCTCTTAGACCTATAGTCCCTTGACTAGAGTTTGCATCCTCTGGAGGAAGTTCATAGACATTTTCTAGTGGGTGTCTGAGTACTCATCTTTAAGAAAACTAATTTTTAGATCCTTAATGTCCTAAAATCATCTGGGAAGTTCCCTGAAGACAAGGGAACTCTCACAATGACCCTTTTTTATTTTTGCCTTTTAGAAAAAATTCCCACTCTAAATCTTAGAAAGATGTTCACCACAGAGTGTGAAAAACTTCCAGGGCACCAAAGGGAAGATTTGAAATATTGGTGTAGGTTCTCAGACAGTAATTGGCTTTACTAACTGAATAATAATTTGTTTAAGTCAGGTGGTTTTCCAGTTTATTGCTTTCAACAAAATAGGATCTGAGTTGTCAGCTGATAGATAAGTATTGATGAAAGAATCTTTTGGCACATAACTTGGGAGAGGATTCAGAGATTTGAAAGACATTTCTATTATAAAACTTTTCTTTAGCTTTATGTTTCTATGTATGTAAATAAGATTGATCATTGATTTATTAATTTAGAAACGAGGAACAAAATTGATGCTGACACTTATTTCATTCTAGCAATAAATAATATCCATTGTGACTATATGAAGTAATTGGAAGCAAAAAAAAAATCAGGTTTATCTGATTGCAATGAGATGCTTTTTTTAAACTTTATTTCAGCATAACTATAGTTACAGAAATATATTCATATTTAATAGATCAATTTAAGTTTAACTCATCCTATATGATTTGGACCAGAAATTTGATGTGTAGCTTAAAAAATTAAGAAAGAGGTGGAGGGATTACAATATGAGTTATTTTGTTCTTCATCTATTACAAATGTATGAAAGTCCCTCCTTCAAATTTTACCAAAGCAGGCAGCAAGAACAATGAAGAAAAAATTTAAAATGAAGAGACTTATGGTCAAAGGAAAAAATTTTAAAATTTTACAAGGAACCTTTAAAAGACTTTCAGTCATATAAGTATATTTCACTGGGTTATTTTTTGGTGGAAGTGGAGTGGAATACAAATTCAGAAAGAAGAAAGAATAATATAAATTTCTGACCACTGAAAAACTTGTTTGGGTAGCTTTAAAATGGGTCAGCGGATATCAAATCAGAGTTGGGTTGGTTTTTTTTTTTTTTCTTTTTTTTAGTATATTTTTTTTTAGTTGTAGACTAAATTGCATTAGACAAGATCAGTGGTTAGGGGCTGGAGATGTGGCTCAAGCAGTAGCATGCTCGCCTGGCTTGCGTGCTGCCCTCAGCACCACATACAAAACAAAGATGTTGTGTCCGCCGAAAAAACTAAAAAATAAATAAAATTCTCTCTCTCTCTCTCCTTAAAAAAAAAAAAAAGATCAGTAGTTAGACTATACCATATATTGCATCCACTGCAGTTATTTAAAGACAATTATCTTAAAGATATTTGTTATTAATTATTTAAAGATACTTTTTTGTGCTGAAAACTGTTTAGGTGAGACTTAAAAACACAATGGGGTGCATGGGTTTTTTAAAAATTAGGAGGTATCTGAGCAAGAAATTTTGTGAAAACCACTGCTTTAAATCTCTTAAACTGTTTGCCTATAAATTTAGGCTAGAAAAATCTCGATTTTTCAAACCTTGGACTCAAATTACAAAAGCTAGGTTCTAGAAAACACAGCATTTCACAATTGAAAGACTCCAGCAGTCTTCTGGCTCTGGACCTGGCTCTGCAATTAACTCCATTGTATTGGGGCCACTTGCTCCATTCCTAGGTGTCACTTTTCCCCATTTTTGCCACATTTTTTTTTTTAGAATATATGCATATATACTAAAAAAATGGATACAGTACCTTTATTTTGTTTGTTTTTATGTAGTACTTGGGATTAAACCCAGTGCCCACACGTGCTAGGCAAGCACTCTACCAAAAAGCCTCAACATTTTGCCTTTTTAATAGATAATGTCTTTGTTGCTTTTCCCAGGATGAAGGAGCAGTGATCTCCCAGATTTCAGACATTTCCAATAGGGATGGCCATGCTACTGATGAGGAGAAACTGGCATCCACATCATGTGGTCAGAAATCAGCTGGGGCCGAGGTGAAAGGTGAGCCAGAGGAAGACGTGGAGTACTTTGAATGTTCCAATGTTCCTGTGTCTACCATAAATCATGCGTTTTCATCCTCAGAAGCAGGTATGGAAGCATATCTTCATCTTTGTTATATACGTAAGCATAGAAATGCCTGAGAGTCTAAAAGTAAGAGATGCCTTAGATAAGAGAATTGGGTCACTTGATGGATAGATTTAGAATGCTTATCTACACTTTACTTTATCTAGAAAAGAAATACAGGAAAGTGCTTATTGAAGTACTAGGGACTTATGGACGAGTGTGGCAGTATGTTCTAGAGAAATTATTGCTTGAATTTTCTTATGACTTTGTGTTAATGTTGGCCATATCTGAAAGTATGATGGCCTATAAATATGTTGTAATTCTTTGTAATTACTGTGTTCTTTGTTTAACTTCCAGAAATAATAACAATTAGCATGTATAGTGCCTTTCCATGTGCAGGTGTTGTTTTAAGTGCTTTACTTGTATTAACTCCTTACTGCTCACTACCTGCTGCTCTTTTTGCTATTCTTCAGAGAAACAAAGTGAGGCACAGAAGCTAAGTAGCTTGACCAAGGTCACTTGGCTAGTATAGGAGGGAAAGGGATGTTTTTTCCTTTCCCATTGCAAGGTTCATGGCTGAGACCTGTATAACAAAAGACAGACTAATGAGAAAAACATACAGATTTATTTAACACAAGTTTTACAAGGTACAGAGCCTTTCAAAATGAAGACCTAAAGATACAGGGAAGATTGTTTTTACGGATAGTTATAGGAAGTACAATTAGAGGAAAGAAAAGTAGATCTGGAGGGAACTTATAACAAGGGCTATTTGTTGAGATTCTTCTCATTGTCTCTGTCTTCAAGGATGAGAATGTTCTTTTTCTCTGAATATTAGGAGTACCTCTCTGGAATAAGGGTCTTATAATCTGTTATCAGGGGAAGATGAGAGAATTCTTTTACGTCTTGCATCGGGGAGAAGGACAGACCTTTCTGCTTCCTCAAATGATGAGGTACCATATTTGAGGGCAGTGTGCTCTGAACACTGTCACTAACAAATGGTAGAAACAATTGGAACCTAAGCAGTCTGTTTCTATGGCCTTTTAGCAGTAGTGCTAAAGTGTGGAATGATTATTTTCATTATGCAAGGCTATTATAAGTTTGTCCTGAATGTGATACATTAAAATTGACAAGTACCTTATGAAATTCTTCTTAGTTTTCTAATGAAGTACCTGAATTAACTTTAGCTGAAGCCTTTTCCTATGGGTCTCTTCATGTCACTTTAGAATGAAGACCCTAAAATGGCTCCACATAACATCTGTGGAACTTAACTTATGAAAGATTTGGAAACATGTTCCGTGTTATATTATGAAAGATTTGGAAATGTGTACCTGATTACTCTCAACATTATTAAAAACTTAGATCTTCTTAAGCAACACAATTCTTACCCACACAATAGTGTAGGCTTTTTCTTAAGAGTTTAGAAAGTCATTCTCTGCCATTCTGCATCAAAGAAAACAGATGGACAATCAGGACTTTGAGCAAGTTATTCTCCTCAGCCACCTCCTAGCCCCTCAGGCCTCAGTTTCTCATTTACTGTTACTATGACAGTTAACTAAGATAATCAACTTATTAAGAGAAAAGGTTTATTTTGGTTCCAGGCCATGATCAGGTGGCCCTTGACTTTTAGGCCTGTGGTTGGGGTTGCCCAATCCCAGTAGTGGGGAGCATGTGATGGAGTGTAACCATTCATCTCACGGTCAAGAAGCAAAAAAGAAGGAAGTAAGAGGGTGGAGTCCCACAGTGTCCTTCAAAGGCACCCCACACCCATGCCCAGTGACCTGAGGACTTCCCAGTAGGCCCTACCTCTTAAAGATTTTGCTATCTCAGGGTTGGGGATTTAGCTCAGTGGCAGAATGCTTGCCTAGCACGAACATGGCCCCGGGTTCGGTCCTTAGCCCTGAAAAAACAGAAAGATTTTGCTGTCTCTTAACAGTACCATCCTAGGGATCAAGCCTTTGGTGGACATTTAAGATCCTAGCTATTGCACCATGCGTAACATTTCTGGTGTCTTTCTCTAAGGCCTTGTTCACCATTACCCCTTTTACCCCACTTTCTCAATGTTAATTCTTAGTACTCATACTTGCATTTGTTTCTTGTCCATATCTGAAGTATCTTTCTTTGACATTTCCCACAAAAATTCCACCTTTTTTTCCAGGTCTCTCTGCATGTTCCTTGAGTCCCAAGGAACCTCTGCTCCCACCATGTTTTTTCTTGCCCTTCCAGTTCTACAGTACCAGTGCCATGCACTCATTGTAGGAGGGTGGCTTTTGTATCTATCTTATTTGTCTCCAAGTTAGGGATTATTAGAGATGTGTCTTTGAATTTCCTCTGACACAGTACATGGTAAATATTCGTTGAAATATGTTCTTCCCTACTGGAGGAAATTCCTTGAAGAGGAATTTCTATTAGATAACAGCACTATTCTCAAAGTTGGTAAATAGGCTAATTGGCTTTGGAAAAGCACAAAAGATTTAAACAAGCTGTTACACTGTAACTTGTTAGCTGTATCAAAGGAACACGCCAAGGCTGTGGTCTCTGGGGACATAGGGGTGCTACAGGCTCTGGTACTGGAATCAGAGACTATTGGCTGGAGAGAGAGTCACCTTAGAGATGCTTCTTAATGGATACATACATGGGTGTTCCTCTAGAACCAAGAAACTCTCACTGATGGGAGGTAATCTCTGTGTTGATATAGCCCCACTATCCTTCTGTGAGTATAGGGCAAATGGGAAAAGGAGGTTGTAATAAGGAATTTGGGCTTGCACTCACAGGTGTGGGGAGGCTAAGAAGGGATTTTTTTTGTTGTTTTTTGTTTGTTTGTTTGTTTTTAGCAGAACAGTAATGTTCATATTTGTTTTAAATAATTAACTATTGACCAAAATAGTATTTAATTATTGCTATATAGATGATTGTAGCTTTAAATTTTGGTATGCTTTTCTGTATCATTAGATTTTCTTCTAAGGGCATATTCTGTTTTTTGTTTTTGTTTTTGTTTGTCTGTCTAATGTAGTACAATATCACCTCTGGTGGTGGAGGGAAAAATAGACCTCACACAAGGTAACTGTTTACAGGGTATAGAGAAGATAATAAATTTAGTTTTGCAGGCTCAAAATTTAAAGCTTAGTATTTTATATGCTGTATTAATTAGATTGAGAGTGAGTTCTTCTGGGCTAGAATTTAAATTTAGACTTGGTAATAAAATAACATTCATTGTTAATAGTTTCCTCTTCCTGAAATAATACCACTGTTAGTACAACTCATTTGCTGGACTTTTCAATGGACACAAGGGGGCAGCCTTGATGTTCTTTCTGTTCGACCATTGACATTCTGTTTATGGCTGAGTGTATATTCCTCTTCTGAATGTTATGGACTTCAACACTAAACAGATCAACAGAACTCAACAGAATGCAAGTGCTCATTTTAAAATTTCAAAACATTGTTGGTATGTTTGTAGTGACTTTGGACCTGTACTGAAGTTCCCAAGAGTCTTTCACCAAGAAAGAAGGAAATTCTTGGAATAACTATAAAAATGACTTTTTGTTTTAGGTGTAGAGAAAGAATCGTGTCAGAAGATGGACAAAGACGGATCTACTGTACTTGTAAGTTTTCAAATTCGGAGGAACAAGGTGGAACTCTGGTTTTCTTCAGTATTTGATTTGAAGCCCATATTATAAATTTATTAAAGTCTAGTCATTGTTAGGTGATGATGATGAAATTGTGTATGTGTGTGTGTGTGTGTGTATTTCCTTTTTTTAAATTTTTTTTTTAGTTGGACACAATACCTTTATTTCACTTATTGATTTTTATGTGGTGCTGAGGATTGAGCCCTGGTCTGGCAAATGCAAAGAGAGTGCTCTACCACTGAGCCACAAACCCATCCTTGTGTGTGTGTATTTCATATGTACATATGACACATTTTCTTCACTGGAGAAACTCATAGTTTATGCATAATGTTCTATACAGTAGCCAGTAGCCACATGTGACTGACTGTTGAGCGCTTGAGCTGTAGCTAGTCTGAATTGAAATGCCCTGTATGTGTGAAATACAAACAGTATTTAAGACTTATTACCCCCCCCAAAAGTGGATTATTAAATGCCACAGTAACTTTTTATATTGACTACCTGGTGAGATGATGATATTTTTGATCTATAGAGTTAATTAAACTATATTATTAAAATTAGTTCTACGTGTTTCTTTTTATTTTTTATTGTAGCTACTAGAAAATTAATAGGTACATATGACTGCCAGTATATTTCTGTTGAAGTGTACTGATATAAGACACAAAATACAAACTAAAAATACCCTGTGGAAAATGTTTTAACAGAATGTGTTCCAGGGCTGTCTGACTACATGGCAGTTGTTGAGGTTGGATGTGAGCTAATAAAAAGCAAAAAAAGTTTTTTTATTACAGAGGATTGAACCCAGGGACCCTCTAATACTGAGCTACATCCCTAGGAGTTCTCTTTCTCTCTCTCTCTCTCTCTTTTTTTTGTTGAGACAAGGAGTTGGTCCAATAAAATAAATAAATAATTTTTAAAAAAGGAAAGAGGAGGACCTAGGAATGGTGTAACACTAGAATGATCCTCAGTTGACAAAGGTGCATCATTGAGATTGTTTCCCTGCCTGTGAACATCAAGAACCAAAAATACAGAATGCTTCATGATTTTGCATGCCATGTTGCACATGTGCCATACATATCTTCTCCATATTGTTTCAGTTTCAGTATATGTGCTGCTGAAGTGAGTATTTTTTTTCTTTTATTTTTATTTTTTTATTTGAGATACTTCTGATTTTTATTTTTTTTATTTTTATTTTTTTAATTTAATTTTATTTTTTTAAATTATTAGTTGTTCAAAACATTACAAAGCTCTTGACATATCATATTTGATACATTTGATTCAAGCAGATTATGAACTCCCATTTTTACCCCGTATACATATTGCAGAATCACATCAGTTACAAATCCACTTTTTTACATACTGCCATACTAGTGTCTGTTGTATTTTACTGCCTTTCCTATCCTCTACTTTCCCTCCTTCCCTCCCCTCCCCGGATTTCAGTAAGTTGCCCAGGCTGACCTCAAACTTGCTGTCCTCCAGTCTCAACCTCCTGAATAGCTGGGATGCCACCACACCCAGCCACAAAAATCTTTTTTTATCTCTTTATTTTCAGTTTTAGATATACAGGAATTCCTTGTTCTATTTTTATATATCTTACCCCTACTATTCAAATTATTAACATTTTACGTACAATATAGTTATCTAAATCACTAATACACATATACTGATAGCAGTACTGTTAGTTAATATTTAAACTTGTTCCGATTTTTTCAATTGTCCTACTAATATCCTTATTCTAGTGCAGGCTTCAACACAGGATCCCACAGTGCACTTAGCTCTGTGAGCACTCTACCGCTGAGAGGTAGAGAGAAAATGGCCACATGGGTAACTTAAAGCCATTTGTCTTGTACTCACAGAAAGCTAATGGGGCTATTATCAACATAGCAGATTGTGCTTTGTGAGCACAAACCCCTTAGTCTCCTTTCATCTGTAACTGTTTCTCAGTTTTTGTCTCTAATGACCTTGACAGTTTTGAAGAGTTCTGTTCTGTTAAGTGCAGAGTACATCTTTCAGTTTGGATTTTTCTCATGCTTTTTCATGATTAAATTCATTTTATTTGTCTTTGGCACAGATACAGCAGAATTAATGATGTAGATGGCAATGTGTCCCCTTTTGGTAGGGTTAATTTGATCACTTGATTAAGGTAATGTTGCCCATGTTTCACCATTTGAATACGTCCTAAAGAAACTATATTCCAGGGGCTGGGTTGTGGCTCAGTGGCAGAGAGCTTACCTCGCACATGTGAGGCACTGGGTTCGATCCTCAGCACTACATAAAATGAATAAATAAAATAAAGTTAGTGTGTTCATTTACAACTAAATTTTTAAAAAGTATATTCCAGGTAGGAGTATTGGCCTGTGTAAAATCAGGGAGTAGGAAAAAGTATGAATTTTATAAGGAATTATGAATATTAATAATCTCATGTCACTGGAGGATACTTTGTATATGGAAAGTAAGAGACAGGTAATCAAGGGATACAGATACACTGCCAGGAGGTTTGAATTTTGATAAAATTGGTAGGTAGCTCTTGTGAGGTTTGAAGTAAGAAATAGTGTGATTGGTTATAGTTCAGAGAATGAGATAGAGGCTGGGAGAGGGTTTAGCAGGTAGAACTGTCACTGCTTGGTGACATGACATTCGTGATGGCGGTAATGAAAGAAAGTTGATGAAGACCACTCGGTTTCTGCCCCGAGAATCCAGGTGGTCGCTGTTAACCAAGCCCAAGGGGGCCTCATAACACATGGTACCACTCTCCACCTAGTGGTGTAAGTCACAAGTCTGGGTGTCATTTTTGACTCCTCCCTCCCCCTTGCTCCCCTAGTCAAGATATGTGGCTTCTGTGTCCAAAACTTATTGTAAATTCATCTACTCTTTTTCAGCTCATGGCTACTACTGGTCCCATTTTAATGGTGGTGGCTGTTTTTTAACTCGTCTTCCTGTTTCTAGGCTTAGTCTCTCATCCTTTGGCATAAATCAGCATAATGTGATTCAAACACAAAATTAGTCTCTTTATTCCTTTCTTAAAGCTCTGCATAGGCTTCCCCTATCTTAAGGATATGTTCAGACTCTTATTGTGGTCTGTGTGATTCTCCACATTTGACACTTGCCTACCTGAATGGAATTTTTTTTTTTTTAAGTTCTATGACCTACCTCTTTGACCCATTTCCCTATTCTCCCTGCTTCCCTATAAGATTATAAGCATGGTACAGGTAGGGACCATGACTGTATTATTGGCTGGTACACCCCAGGACCCACCACTATAAATATTTATGGATGTAGGAATAAGTAAAAGAGAAGAAAGATCAGAATTGTAGAGTTTATTTTTAGATATATGGCTTTAAGTTACCCATGTGACCATTTTCTCAGTCCATGTGTCCTTTTGGTGGTTATGGGTGTGTAACAGGAGCTCAAGAAAAGTTTGGTTGGCTTTAATAGCTCTGAGGGACCATAGGACACAGGTGATAATTGAAGCTGTAGAAGCAAATAAAGTTGAGATTGAAACACTTTACTTTGATCCACAGTAAAAAATACCTTTCAATTCTCGACCAGTACATATCTGGCACATCATAGCTCATACACTTGTATATTTATAAAACAAATTACACAATTATATGCCTTTCTTCTAATTTACTTTGATGTTTCCTATTTCTTTTTTTAGTGCAGATTTTTGGTGCCACTAAATTGTTTTCATGATTCACTACTGTGCTATGACCCCTGGTATTTCTCTATATAATAGAGAATGAACTTCTTAACCTTAGGAATGGGCATAGGAGGAGCCTATAGAAGCATGGACAGGAAGTCAGAAGGAAGAACTTACATATCACATGTGGGAAATCAGAAAGCATTGTTTCCTCACTAAGGCTTCATACCTTAGTAACATTTGTTTCCAGACAAAAATCACTTTTGCCCAGAAACTTATGTGATCCTCAGTTTTCTGGAGAATGAGTTCTTCTGATCCCAGTACAGCCACTCAAGGACTGAAGCTTCAGTTTGCTCATCTGTGAAAGAGAAACTCCATACCCTACTACCAAAGCAACCTGGTTGTACAGCCCAGAAATCTGGTTCCTTTTGAAGTTTTCCAAGTACAATAGGCATACTTTCTAGTATTTTCAGTGTGTAAAAATAGTGAAAGGATGGGGCCGGGGTTGTGGCTCAGTGGTAGAGCACTTGCCTAGCATGAGTGAGGCACTGGGTTCATCCCTGGCACCACATAAAGATAAACAGATAAATGTATTGTGTCCATCTACAATTAAAAAAAATTTTTTTAAATAGCAAAAGGATGATTGAAGAGGGGTGTGTTGAGTGGACAAAGCATTGGTTTGCAGATTTATGCAGCTCTTGAAACTGTTTAAACTTCATGATTCCCAACTTATTCCTCTAACACTTGTCTCTAGAGCCTGCTGGTGAAAGACATAGATGATATCTGCTGTGACCTCCTAAAAATAACGGCACTTCAACTTGCTGACATAAATAAATTTCAACTTTTTTAGAATGTTGAATTAACATTGTTTAATAAATTGTCACTTTAAAGGTTGGGGACGTAGCCCAGTGGAGAACACTTACCTAGCATACATGAGGTGCCTGGAGTTGGTCCCCGGAATTTCAAAAGAAAGGAACAATTTCAGTCTTCAAAGTAATTAATAAAGAAATCTGTGTAATCTGGTATTTACTTTATTAAGCCTCTTTGAAGTACTTTCCTGTTGCAATCTTGTGCCCAGTGGTAGGTGGCTGGGACAAAATAATTAAGACCATAGAGTAAAAGTTATTAAAGGTTGAGTTTATGTGGTTTTCCAAGCATATCTTTGTTAGTAGTGGTGGCAGCTGGTACTGCTCTGGGGAGTACAAATGATGGAATGAGCACAATGCAGACAGATTGGTGATGCTAATTCTCCCACTGCAAGGACATCAGCTAAGGGAATTACTTTGTGGCATATATGTTCACTGTAGATTTGCAACCAAGATGCCATTCAGTTCTATTATCATTAGACAGGTATTTTTTGGCGCTCAATTGTGATTGCCCTGAGGGACCAGGAGAAGGACTAGGGAACATGAAACCAGATCCCTTTGGGAGGATGACTGATTAATTTGGGCATCTTTATTAAGATTTTATTTAGAGGTAGTTGTGATAACTCATACCTATGATCCTGGCTACTTGAAAGACTGAGTCAGGAGGATCAAAAGTTTGAGGCCAGCCAGGGCAACTTAGAGAGCCCCTTTCTCTAAATATATAATGGATAAGGGGATATAACTCAGTGGTAGAGTACTTGCCTAGCTTGTCCAAGGCCTAGGGTTTGGTCCCTAGTACTTCAATTTAAAAGAAAAAAAAAATTGATTCTAGCTCAGTTCTAAAAGAGATTTTACATATATTTTTTTGAGACAGGTCTAAGTTGCTTAGGGCCTCACTAAATTGCTGAGGCTGGCTTTCAAGTTTGCCTTCCTCCTGCTTTAGCCTCAACAACCAATGAGATTACAGGTATGCACCATCACACCCACCTGGCTAATTCTTTGCAATGGTAGACTTGGTAGACTTTCTACACTGTTTGATAAACAATATAAAGGACTAAGAGCTGGACATGGTGGCACACACCTATAATCCCAGACACTGGGGATACTAATGCAATAGAATTACAAATTTGCAGCCAGCCTGGGCAATTTAATGAGACTCTGTCTCAAAGTTTAAAAAGTGCTGGGGATGTACTCAGTGGCAGAGTGCTTGCCAAGCATTTGTGAGGTCCCCAATACTGTAAAACAAATCATACAAACAAATAAAAAGGACTGAAAAGTTTTAGTCCTAAGAGACTGGGAACGGTAACTGAAATAAGTGACAGCATAAATTCTTTCCCTGATCACCTCTTAAGAACTGTTGCATTCTAAGAGGTGAGGCTTATGGCTTATGGCCAGGAGAGAGCTGGCAGGTTGCAGAACCACTAGCTTAAATATAGTGGCCATCTTCCATGTCCAATTAAGAATACTGCCTCTTCTGGATACATTTGTTAGCATTAAGTTGACGTGAGCAGGCTGACTAAATTCATTTATCCCCTCCACAAATGAATGAAATACTGAACTCTAGAATGGATATTAGTATTTCTTTGCTAAGAAGACTCCTAGTAGCTTCTTAGTAGCTGAGGCAGGAAGATTGCAAGTTCAAGGCCAGACTAGGTAACTTAGACCCTATCTCCAAAATTTTTTGGGGGGGGGCGAGTGTTATACATGCAACAGTACCTTTATTTTATTTATTTATCTTCATGTGGTGCTGATGATCAAACCCAGGGCCTCATATGTGCTAGGTAAACACGCTGAGCTACAACCCCAGCCCTCAATTTTTTTTTTTAAGGGCTGGGTATGTAGCCCAGTAGAGTACCCCTGGGTTAAATCCCTGGTATGGAAAGTGGAGGGGAGAATAAAGGAGGGAGGGATAAAGAAGGCATACCAAATTAATGAGATGGTTCTACTGTCCAGGGGTATATTGGCTATCTACTCTGAGTAACAAATTACTCCAAAATTCAGTAGCTTAAAACAATAAATACTTATTATCTCATTGTTTTGGTGGGTTAGGAATCTTCTGCTGGATGCCTCTTGATTCATGATCATGAGGGTCTCTCGTGATCAAGGTATTACTAGTCATCCAAATCCAGTCATCCCTGTATTTGATTTAGGGTGAATTTGATTCCACTCACATGGTTGTTGGCAGAGACATTATTTCTTTTCACAAGGGCTTTTGCAGACTTCTCAAAACATGGAAACCAGAGTCTTTTTATAATATTAGGTTCCATGATTTTTGCCATATCCGAGTGAGTCACTAAGTCTAGGCTGTACCCAAAGAGAAGAGAATGCACGAGAGGATTAGTACTAGGAGGTAAGGTTTGGAGAGCCAGTTAGAGACTGCTCATCTCAAGTGCCCCCTGGTTCTAGTGAGAGATTTCTACCAAAATCTATACCAGGAGGTACTGGGATTACCTTGGACCTCTGTCAGCCTGATGGGCTTCCCTCCTTCAAATGCTGCTGGAAGGTGGGCACTGCCAGTTAGTGGTTTTTATGTTTTCCTTTTTTGGTCTAAGATGAGTTTCTATATTGGAACTATGGCTGAGGTCTGTGAAGCTGTTTCCTAAAATTACATTTGTGTTTTGAGCATTTTATATAAAGAGAGTGAGGCTACAGTGAAACAAAAAGTTTAAAAGCCACTAGTCTAAGTTAATGTTGGACTTTCTGTTTAGTCTTGGTTCAAAGAAGATACCATCCAGAGAATGGATAGATTATAATCCAATAATCAGTTAGCTATTCTCCCGTTAAAGGGAATTAAGATTATTCCCAGTTCACTTTGGATGGTATTTTGGACATTGCCATGCTCTTAAATCACAGAGCACATTCATACAAAAAAAATTTACTTCCATAGATAGGAGGAAATCACGCCAAATATGCTTTTTAGGAAGGAAAATAGTACTGTTAGGTAATTAGACAGCCATGAATGGGTGAGCACGGAAAGAACAATGAAGGGCAACTGAAAACCACAGGGAGGCTTATCTGAAAGATAAATATCTGGAAGATGGAATTTGGTATGTGAAAACCTCCACCAGCCATAATTACATACACTAAAGAAAAATTAAGATCCTGTCACACCCTACTAGGTGAGATGGCCTGGAACTCTCCCTTATCACCAAAATTATGTCACAGCCCTCAATTACCCCAAACATGACAAAGAAAGCTTGCTAAAAACTATTCAAAGGGTAGTAAATTGATAAAGGGGCAGGGAATTGAAGCAAAAACAGGGGAACTCAATTACCTTATCATCCTCTGTTCAATGTGGTCTATGCAGTTCTTATACTGTTAGTCAGAAGTCAAGAGGTAGACCTAGGTAGGACTCTGGAAATGTCCTTGGGATCCCCAATAAAACTTGAGGGCAGGAGGGGCAAGCTGTCCTTCTCTTTGTGAGGATCCATTCTCTCCCATGAGAGTGTCCCTTTTCCCTTTTCCTGTCCCTTGAGTAAACTCATGCCTGCTACTCTAAGTAACATGTCTGAAATCTTTATGGTATGATCACAAGAGCTGGTGAAGAGGGGGCTTCTGCAGCTGCCTCAGCTTTGCAGCAGGCCTCTGTCTTGTAACAATACTAAGTCCCATGTTCTTGTGAAAAATGAAATGCTAACCAAATGTGGCTTTCTGGAACTGAGTTTATGATAGAAACAAACTGGCACATCAGAAGGTGAAGTGCTACCAGAAAGGAACTGAAAATGTAATGATAAGGAAGAATCCAAGAGTCAAAATAAAAAAAAAAACATATAGGTCTTGACTTACCTCTAGCTACTTTTTATAGGGACAGGTAATGGTGTCCATGAATGTAGTTCTGGATTATAGCAGGATATCACTGCAGACCAACTGAAGTTCATGTTGATCCTGAATTATGAAGGTCGAAAGATGGAGGTCAGAGTTCAGAAAAATGGGTCATTTCAGCTTCCTTAAATCTGAAAGTCAGTAAGGCACTTTAGAAACATTGCCATTCTAAGTGCCTAAGATGTATACAGAGCATCAAATATAAAAGGAACGTCACTTTTTTTGAAAACTTATTTTCTTGGAACATGTCATACCCCAGAAATATGAGCCATTAAACATGTATCTTTTATGCCTGCGATTCCTTGGTCACTGACCACTTATACTTTCTTCTTTTTGGATTAGAAAACTTCCCCAGGTTATCTGTTCAATGAACCTAAGACTGCCCTGGTATGCACTATAACAGTTTTTCCTTAGATAGTATTGTAATTGGATTATTTCTTAAAGCTTCCCTTCTGCTGCTTTTCTCTGCAAGTGTGTTTTTAAAGAGTGTTGTCAATTCAGTAATGAGGAAGTTATTGAAGACTATTTGGGGCTAAGTAGCTAAGGAATGAATGTATTGAATGTGAGCCCTTCCCCACAGGGATTGTTCGAATCCTCTATGGAGAAGGCTCCTGTGTCTGTGGCCTGCGGAGGTGAGAGCCCCCTGGATGGAATCTGCCTCAGCGAATCAGATAAGACAGCTGTGCTCACCTTGATAAGAGAAGAGGTAAAGGCATTTTTTTTCTGTCTGCTTATCACATTTCTCTGTAAAGCCCATGTGCCAACCAGTAGATTCCATCTTTGTTGGCTCAAGTTGCCCCAGGCTGTAAGTTCTTATTTCCTACAGCTTGTGTGTAAAACTCAGTATTGATGCTGAAGTCCTGACATGTTAGTGTCCACAGGAAAAGCCAGTGCCCTGAAACACATTCTTAAGAATTTGGTAGGCTTCTTTAACTTTTAGCCTTGAAGCATTAAGTGTCTAATTTTGCCATCTCTGTTCTGATCCATTTTTAAGAGGCTTATGCCTAAGAATGCCTTAAATTCTAGGCATGTAGCTATAAAAAATTGTTTCCTAATTCCATCCATTCTTTAAACAGTTCAGCTCTCAAATTCCAGTATTGTGTTTTTAAACAGTCTCTATTCAAAAGACATTACCACAAGGCCTTTTCCAGGTGAACTGAAAACTATGGAAGACACTGTTATGCCTCATTACTCAGTTACCATCCTCTCCTGTCATATTTCTGTGCTGTATTTTATGTGTTTGGTTTATGTGTTCCTTGAAGATTCCACTTTTTCTTTTTTTAAAGAAAGTAATTCTGTTGCCATAACAATTTTATGTTTACACTACGATGAAAGTAATTAAGTACCTTTGCTCTATCTAGGTCTTTCAACATTATATAAGTAACTTTAGATTGGTAACAAGGGCTGTCAGCCAGTCCTGTTGTCAAAACTTGGGAGCAGTGGTAAGGAAGCCTACCACTGCCACCCTGCTCATTTTCTTATAAATGAGAAAAATGACTTCGTCTTCCTCTTGAGAGTTAAACTCTGAGATAAATGACCACCTATTGAACCAAAGCAAAGACATGTCTTGTTGCCTGAAGCACACAGGGTGGCTTCTAGGTTCTTGGAGACACCAAAGTAAAGAATATACCCATCAGGAATCAGGAAACACAGCCAAGGAAGGGTAGTCGACAGTGGCAAACCCATTGGAGTTGAGGTAGTAAGTTGAAAGTGTTTCCAGATAGTAAGCATCCCAAATATGGGTGTGGGTTTTGGCCTGACTGGCAAGATCCTTCCGATGGTGAAAGATCCTAAAGAGGGATGTATCCAGCCTGGGGCATTCCCCCTCTGCACCCCTTGTTCTGACTCCATTCTTACCAGTCAGAAATCTCTGTAGAAAAGATTGTGCTGGTCACACCAATTTATAGTACTCTGATTTTGTGGCAGTTTCATTTCTCAAAGAAAATTGGTGGTCTGACATCTACTGCAATTATGTAACTTTGGCTAAGGTGAATCTCTGTCAGTCAGACGCTCGAGTGCTCTTGGTGTCCTGTCCAAACTGTGTCCCTACAGAGTTGACAGCCAGACCATGGACTGAGGTAAAATTCATGGAACTTGTAAAATCCTCTAAAGTTCCTGGGAGATCTGCTTAACTTTATCCTAGTGGCTACATTTCATCATTCTACAGCTGAGAGTACACGTTTCCAAATGTTTATGAACATTATATACAAATGTCAAGGTTTTATATTCCTAATGTCAACCGAATGCCTCAGGTTATACTTGGTCATGTGTTGTTTTCAGTCTCCAATCTTAAAATGAAACTTTAACAGATTGATAAGGTAAAATCCAAGCTTTATTATCATTTAGATAATCACTAAAGAGATTGAAGCCAGTGAGTGGAAGAAGAAATATGAAGAGACCCGACAAGAAGTTTTGGAGATGAGGTCAGACTGGAAGCTGGGGGGAGGGGTCAGGTGTCTTGAATATTATTAAATCTACAAGTGTTTGCTCACCACAGAACCAGCTGTTGGGAACTTGAGGGCTTTGATCTGAGATTACCTCACTTTGCAATTGAGAGTGTCATTTCATGAGTTATGTATTCAAGTATCATAACTCATCTTGAGTCGTTCAGAACATTACATGTAAGCAAAGTTCACACTGTTATTGTCTTTTTTAGAGAATGGACAAAAATGGGCTGGGGATGTGGCTCATGCGGTAGCGTGCTCGCCTGGCATGCGTGCGGCCCAGGTTCGATCCTCAGCACCACATACAAACAAAGATGTTGTGTCCGCCAAAAACTAAAAAATAAATATTAAAAAAAAGAATGGACAAATTTGTGCAAGAATATCCATTTGGAATACAGAATAATAAGATTTAATGGGGCTGGGGATGTGGCTCAAGCGGTAGCGCATTCGCCTGCATGCATGCGGCCCAGGTTCGATCCTCAGCACCACATACCAACAAAGATGTTGTGTCCGCCGAGAACTAAAAAATAAATATTAAAAAAAATTCTCTCTCTCTCTCTCTCTCTCTCTCTCTCCTCTCTCACTCTCTCTTTAAAAAAAAAGATTTATTGATAAGATCAATGATGGAGGCATTGAAATTCAATGGGGGATTGAACCTAGAAGTGTTCAACTATAGAGCTACATCCCAAACCTTTTTTATTATTTTGAAACAGGGCCTCACTAAGTTGCCCTGACTAATCTTGATCTTATGATCATCTTGCCTCAGTCCCCCAAATAGCTATAATTACAAGCATGTGCCATTGGGCCTGCAGAATCCATAATAATTTAAAATAGTCATACATAGTAGCTTCAAGTTATATAATCATCACATGGATTATAAGTAGGCATGTTAATAGAAAACAAAAAATGACATTAAATTGAAATCTTTTAATTTATCCTCTTTATTCTCTAAGAGAATTATGTACCATTAAGTGACTAAGGATGGCATCAAAGAAGAGAAGGAAAAAACATACATAGTTCATGCTTGTACAGTCTGCATTTGAGTGATTAAGAAACATTTTAGCTGGGTAAAATGGCACGTGCCTGTAGTTCCAGCTACTTGGGAAGCCGAGACAAAAGGGAGACCCTGTTACGTAAATTTGTATATGTAAATCAGTATATATCAATGAGTTTAATTGTTTGAGGGCAGCATTTCTCTAAATTCCATTGTATGAAAATTCTCTTCTGAATATTCTTTTTTCTATTTAGGAAAATTGTGGCTGAATATGAAAAGACCATTGCCCAAATGATTGGTAAGGAGTTTTTTTTCCCTAGGGCATGAGCTATAGAATCTGAGTCAGTTCATGCTGCCTTAACAAGGTACCATAAACTAGGTTACTTATAAACAACTGGCATTTATTTATTACAGTTCTGAAGGGTGAGGAGACCACAATCAAGGTTCTGTCAGTTCCGGTGTCTGACATGGGCCTGTTCCTTGTAGTCATGGCCTTCTTACTTTGTCCTCACCTGGTGGCTGAAGGGGATAGCTAGCTAGCTCTTTGTGGTCTTTCTTTTCACACACATAATAATTGTACACATCTGTGGGGTGCACTGTGATAATTTGATCCATGAATGCAGTGTGCAGTGATCTAATCAGGATAATTCACAAATCCATCTCAAGTATGTATCATTTCTTTGTACTGAGAACCTTTGAACTCCTTTATTCTGGTTCTTTAAAAAAATAAATAATAAATTGTTATAAATTATAGTCACCCTACTATACTATAGAACATTAGACCTTATTCCTCATATCTAACTATAATTTGGGACCTGTTATCCAACATCCTTCTTTCCCTTCCTCCCCTTCCCAGCCTCTAGAGACCAACATTATATTTTTTACTTCTGTGAAATCAACTTATTAGCTTCCACACATAACAGTGAACATGCAGTACTTACCTTTTTTTGTGCCTAGCTTAATTCACTTAACATAATGATCTTGGTTCTGGGGTCTCTTCTAGAAGGATATTGTCCTGTCTCTGCCTCATAACTTAATTACCTCCACAACCCCCCCCTCCCAACACTATCACACTGGGGTTAGGTTTCAGCCATATGAATAGGGGAACAAGGAGCGTAAACATTCAGACCATAGCAGGAGATCTTAATATGAACTTCAGTTTGTTCATCATCTATCTCATTTCCATGGTAGGCATATTCTACAAAGTTGCTTCAAATGCTGAACTGGTGGATACTGAAGCACACTCCTAAGAGGAAAAGCAGGACTAAGTTCCTGTGAGCCTATGGTCACAACATTTATATCAACTGATCAATATGTAACCTTGTCTTATATGTGTTTCCACTTAAATACACCTTACTTAATATATATAATTGATTTTTAAACATTGAATTCATGTTCAACAGGGTGTCAATTCATATCTGAACAAAACTTACCTGGCACATGTATTTTTTTTTATTTATATGACAGCAGAATGCATTAAAATTCTTATTACACATATAGAGCACAATTTTTCATATCTTTGGTTGTATACAAAGTATATTTACACCATTTTATGTCTTCATACCTGTACTTTGGATAACAACAATCATCACATTCCACCATCATTAATAACCTCATGCCCCCTCCATTCCCCTCCAACCCCTCTGCCCTATCTAGAATTCATCTATTCCTCCCATGCTCCCTCTCCCTGTCTCACTATGAATCAGCCTCCTTATATCAAAGAAAACATTCAGCATTTGTTTTTGGGGGGATTGGCTAACTTCACTGAGCATTATCTTTTCTAACTCCATCCATTTACCTGCAAATGCCATGATTTTATTCTCTTTTATTGCTGAGTGATATTCCATTGTGTATATATGCCACATTTTTTTATCCACTCATCTGTTGAAGGGCATATAGATTGATTCCACAGTTTAACTATTGTGAATTGTGCTGCTATAAACATTGATGTGGCTGTGTCCCTGTAGAATGCTGTTTTTAAGTCCTTTGGGTATAGACCGAGGAGAAGGATAGCGGGGTCAAATGGTGCTTCCACTCCCAGTTTTTCAAGAAATCTCCATATTGCTTTTCATATTAGCTGTATCAATTTGCAGTCCTACCAGCAGTGTATGAGTGTACCTTTTTCCCCCTCATCCTCACTAACACTTATTGTTGTTTGTATGCATAATAGCTGCCATTCTGACTGGAGTGAGATGAAATCGTATAGTGGTTATGATTTGCATTTCTCTGATTGCTGGTGATGATGAACATTTTTTCATATATTTGTTGATTGATTGTATATCATCTTCTGAGACGTGTCTGTTCAGGTCTTTGGCCCATTTATTGATTAGGTTATTTTTTTTTTTTTGGTGCTTTTTGAGTTCTTTATATACCCTACAGATTAGTGCTCAATCTAATGTGTGAGGGGTATAGATTTACTCCCAAGATATAGGCTCTCTGTTCACGTCACAGATTGTTTCTTTTGCTGAGAAGAAACCAGAGACCCTGCGTCTAACAGAAGAAAAAGTAGGCCCTAATCTCCATCGTGTGGGATATTCCTTAATAAGAGGACTGTAGCAGAAGAATTAAACTTCCTTAATAAGAGTCCTGTGGCAGAAGAATTAAAATCAAGAATCAATAAATGGGCTGGCACATGTATTTTAAGGCACTTCACAGCCTTCTTATGCTTTGTAACACTAGATGGCACTTCAGTACCACCTTTGGGGGCCATTTTAAACAGCAAGGTCACCAAAATAAAGCACAAAAATGCAAAATGTGACACTAAGTAGACTACTTGAAAAGGATAGTTGTTTATAGTATGAAATAAGGTAAAGCATCCCTGTCTGCCCTCAGATGAGAACACGAGCAATAGATGAATAAAAATTTTACTCACATGCCTTGAGTATGGATTCTAGGATTGCAAATAAATTTAAGTTAGTACACAAATTGCAAATACAGACTGCAAATAATGAGGATTGGCTGTTCTTGGGTTCATGTTTTTGAATTCTATGAAAGCCCTCTAAGCCATACCCAGAATGTTGATGGCCCACATACTATACCTACTGGGCGGAGTCCTCTGTTTTTGATGCAGTATCCTTCTGATTTTTCCTGTCAGACCCAGTAGTGCCTTAACAATGGTGATTAATCCTCCATGTTGAATTTAGAGCCTCTTCTAGTGAATTTTGTAAAGATTGATTCCCTAAATCAAATCAAGACAGATCTTTAAGCATTTAAATACTGAAATGATTTTTTTTTTTTTTTGTCCATGTCACCTATTGCCTTCCCAGCTCAGCCTTGGCCAGGGCCATCTCCTCTGTGTGTAATATTCTCCCCCATAGCTGCATGGCTCCCACCCTGTTCTTTGGGTCTCTATTCAAATTTTTTTCTCTGAAGAGGCAGCTCTATAAAACAGCAGCCCACTCACCTGTTCCTCATTCCTCTCATCCTTTTTTTTTTTTTACCCCATCACTCTCACCATATGTCGCTCCCCATTAAAATATAAGTCCTTGGGAGTGGGAATTTTTTTATACCCATGGCTGTGTTCCTTCCCACTGAGAACACTGCCTGGCTCAGGGAGAGCAGCTGTTCACCATTGTGTGAATAAACATGCCATTATTTTTTACTTATAATTCCCAGAAGATGAACAAAGGACAAACATGACCTCTCAGAAGAGCTTCCAGCAACTTACCATGGAGAAGGAGCAGGCCCTGGCTGACCTCAACTCTGTGGAGCGATCCCTTTCTGATCTCTTCAGGAGATATGAGAACCTGAAAGGCGTACTGGAAGGGTTCAAGAAGGTAATGAGTGTGTCCTTTTCTGTCTCTCTCCTGGCTAGTACTGGATCATCACACACATAATGCAAGGGGTAAAAAGCCTTTTAAAAGGGGCTCCGCCTTGTATCTTCTATTCCAGTAAAACCATGTTTTTTTTTACTTTTTCATTTCTATAATCAGGCAGCTGGCCCACAGGGTGGTATCTCTTGATTATTTTTACTGGATCAAGCCAGTGAAGCCTAGATACAGCCAGAGTGTGGCATAGAGTACAAGAATTGGAACCCTCAGATCTCAGGATACATCTAGAAACGTTCTTTTTAATTATTCACCTTTTCAATGTTAGTAAGTGTAGAAGGGATTCCATATCATTGAAAAAAAATCTTAAGTGGCATATTTTAGAAAACATTAAATGTAATAATTTGGTTGAATAGTATTAATAAGACACATTAAAGCAGTGAAATTCTTTTGTTTTCTTTTTTTAATGCGGCTGAGGTGGAACCTAGAATCTCATACATGCTAGGCAAGAGCTGTACCGCTGAGCCACACCTTCAGCCTTTGAAATTCTTTATTTTCCTATTAAATTAAAAATGAAACTAGCCAATATGTCCAATGTAGAAATCAAATCACTATTCAGTTTTGAATAAGTACCTCCCTAAAGGAGGTATATTGGTATAACTGAACCTTACTGTATGATGTTGAAAATTAATACATAAAGAAATTATGTTATAAAAATATCTAGAATTTTTAAGTGAGATTTGTATGTGCCTATTTCAGATTACCATACATATTAAAGTCATCTGAGTTAATTGGGTTTTTCCATTTTTTTACATATGACTCTGATATATATTATATTACTAGTAGAAGAAAAATGAAATGACCTGTTTATTTTTAATTTTCACTATGGAACAGAATGAAGAAGCCTTGAAAAAATGTGCTCAGGATTACTTAGCCAGAGTTAAACAAGAGGAACAGCGGTATCAGGCCCTGAAAATCCATGCAGAAGAAAAACTAGACAAGTAAGAGCTTGTAAATTTGAATTTTACTTTTCATAATGTTATGAGGATATTGACAGAGGCAGAAACTTCATTTTATCTAAAAAGTAATATATACTTGTACATTTTGCTAAATGTATTCCTAAGTGTAAGAAAACAAGTTCACTGTTTTGCAACCTCAGGGGGTGTGTATGTATATCTGTGTGTGAGAGACAGATTTCAATTTTTGAGCCATCTTCTTTACATGGTTAAAACATTAAGAAACATAAAAAGGTATACAGTATCACCCTCCCTTTCCTGCCCCCCTTACACTAGGTTCCTACCTCTTTTCCCCTCAAATAATCAGTAGAGTTTCTGTTTCTCCTTCTAGATATGCTTTTTTCCCTCCTTTTTTAGATGATAGCATACTTCCTTTTTTTGTGTAGCAATACAGTTTTGAAAATCTTTCTCTGTCTAGTCTGTTCATGAGGAGCTTCCACATGGTATTCCACTGTTGGAATGTATCATTTACATTCTCTCCTGTTGGACATTGAGGTTAATTAGAATCTTTTGCTGCAACAAACAGTGCTGTAGTAGGTAACCCTGTAGATTATCCTTTTACATGCATTTAAGTTATCTTTATGATATATGTAATAGAAAAGGAATTCTTGAACCAAAAAATAATGAATGTATAATTATAGTAGTTATTTTCAAATGACCTCATAAAATTTATACCCATTTATACCCCTGTACAATTCTTAGGAGCATTTGTTTTCCCTACAGCTCTGTTAGCAGATCAACTTATTGATTTTATGCAAATCTAATAGATGAAAATGGTATTTCATTGTAGGTTTTTGTGGTTTTGGGCAAGTAAGCAACATAACTTTTATTTTATTACCTGTAGTTTTGATTTGCATTTGTCTTAATGAAGAAACTAAATATATTTTAGCACTTACCTATTCAAATATTTACTGTGTATGACTATTCTTTGCCTATTTTTCCATTGTCAGTTTATATGTTTTATACATTAGGGATACCAGCCCTTTGTAATGTGAATTGTGAATAATTTTTCAAGGTTGTCATGTATTTTTTGGCCCTGTTATGGTGTTTCTGATATGCAGAATGTTTCATTTTTAGTACTGGGTATTGAACACAGGGCCTCATGTAGGCCCGATAAGCAAGACGCTGTTTCAAAATATATTTTTTTAAAAAAAGATTCCCTTTTTATTTTATTAATAAGGTTGCTTCCTTGAGGTTTGTGTCTCATAAACATTAATGGCTAGTATTCTAAATTGTTTAGCTGTGATGATCTCTGGAGTGACCTGTCCACTTTTATATTGGGTTTTTAAAAAATTAAGATTATTGTAGAAACTGTTACATAATTCTTTTCTCATGAAATACAAATTTTAAAGAACGCCATGGCCTTCAAAAATGATTCTACCATTGGCGTGTCTCATGGGAATTTCCCTAGCAATTGTATATAAAATGAATTTTTATTAATTAAAATTAAATTATGTAAGTCTCTGATTCTTGTCTTTTTGCTGATCATGCAATCTGTTCTTTTGAGTCTGTCTGCTGGAGGTCAATGGTTATTCTCCTGACTCTTTAGCTGTGCCCTGGCTAACATATGCTTTCTTTCTCTTTATTCCACAAACAAAACTCCACAAACAGAGCCAATGAAGAGATTGCTCAGGTTCGCACAAAGGCAAAGGCTGAAAGCGCAGCTCTGCATGCTGGACTCCGGAAAGAGCAGATGAAGGTGGAATCCCTGGAAAGAGCCCTGCAGCAGAAGGTATGACAAGGGGTTGGGTCAAGACAACCATGCAGGTGCCTGGTCCTCCTCCTCTACAGTGGCTCACATTGGTCCTTGGTGTGCTTTGTGCACCATGATCCTGGGTGAAAGTGACCTTGCCTTTGTACTCAGATACTTCAACCCAGATCCTTTGTGAACTAATTCTTGGGGAGACAGACAAGTCACGCCATTAACCTTCCAGTTATATTATATGCGAATCATCCACAGGCAGGGTGCAGAAAGGAATTTGGAATTTGCATTTTAACTGAAGTTCAGTGATCAAACACTTTTAGTAGGGGTCACGAGGCTTACCTTTCATTCATTCTGTTTTCTTTTTATGCAATACATGAAGCCATCTTCCCCTTCACTTGCTTTAGATCATTGGTTCTCAATTAGGGGTAATTTTGCCCTCCAGGAGACATTAGGCAATGTCTGGAGATTAATTGGCTGTCATGACTGGGAGATGCTACTAGCATCTAGTGAGTAGAAGCCCAAAATGTTGTCAGATATCCTACAGTGCACATCCACCCCCATCCATACATTTACCCAGGCCAAAACACAAGTCCTGCTGATGTAGAGAAACCCTTTTGTAAATAAATGGAAACCAGTAGTAGCAATCCTTATATTGCACTTCCCAGCAATTTTTGTTTCTTTTTTATGTCTCCAGCATTTTACTTACTACATCTCCACTTATGCACTTGTACCTATTCAGTCCATTTAGTTAGAACATGGGATCTGAGGGCCCCTCATGTTCCCTTGGATACTCTGATGCCAGAATCCCAACTCCTAGAGAAGCTGATGGATTGAGTGAGACTCAGATGTTTGTGTTGCTGAAAAGTACCTCACACAGTTCCTATGAAAACAAGAAATTTGGGAACTGAGTTGTTTACAAACAGGCTTCAGAGGACTGGTGACTACCCACCTCACCCTCTACTCAGTTAAGCCCAATACTATGAGTACATGCACATTTACAGGGGAGAAGGATTAGCATTTTCCTTTCTTCACAAGATCTCTAATATAGAAAAGTAAAGAATCACTGAATTAGGTTGTCTAGGTAGGATCTAGCCAGTCCTGGGACTATCTAGCTATAATTCCCTTTATCTTAGAACACAAAGTGGCCTGCTTATAATCATATCATCTGTCTTTTAGAACCAAGAAATTGAAGAACTGACAAAAATCTGTGACGAGCTGATTGCAAAGCTGGGAAAGACTGACTGAGATTCCTCTCTTCACGTAGCAGATCTGCACTCCAATGCTTCTGTCATGACCACAAGTATCTTGCCTTATCTAGGAATAATCGTACCTTTGCAGAGAAAAAAAAAATTAAAAAAAAAAAAAAAAGCACAGACCCACCGCTGCCTGTCCTGCTTAGTTGCCAGTACAGCAGCCCTGGAAGGAGCCCTGGAGGTTAGCCCAGTCAGGAAGGAGTGTGATCTGCCAGTGCTGGAATCCTTTTCTGCTCCCCAGCATCAGGTTCAGTTAGGGAGGCTGTAGAGCCTGGTTTTCTCTTAGTTGGTCTTAAAGTCATCTTTCCTTCTCCCAAGTTTGTAATTTGTGATTTTGTGGCTACCATTTGGGGTTATCTCCTCTACCACCTGTCTGATATTTTTATGACCTTATAATCTTTTAATTTTCAGTATCACTGGTTTTATTGAAGGAGATGATCTGGCCTTTTGTTATTTACAGTTTATAAACAAGAAGGGGCTTTGAGTATCCTTGTTATATACATTATCCCTCACACATCTCTATCTATACATGCTGCTGCTTTGTCCCTACAGCACATAGAAGAACATACATCTATAAATGTAAAACCCTGTTTTGAAACAGCCCTGTTTCCAAATGCTAACTTACAAATTTGGGTATCAAGTACAGTGACACATGCCTGTACTCCAGCTACTCAGGAGGCTGAGACTAGAGGGTCAGTTGAGCCCAGAAGCACTGTCTTCTCCTGACCCCGCCCCCCAAAAAAAGAAAAGGAAAGAAAGAAACTGGGGGGCATCCAAGATGTGAAGGCCATAGACATGAGTTTCACATCTAGGGAACACTTTCTGCCTCGCTGTTTCATTGCGTTGGTATTTAGACACCCCTGCATATTGATGAGGACAGCCCTTTGGCACTGAGTCCTCCTACTGAAAGTGGTGTCTGCTTTCTGCATGAACATCGGTGCAGAAATCCCTCAAAGCTGGGGTTTGTGAAATCTGCCCTAGAGTCATTTAGCCTTCTGCTTCCTTTTATTGATGCAAAACCAACATCTCACCTTTGTTATCTCTGAAATATTCAAAGAAAAATCTATTTGTGAAAGCTTAGATGGTCTTAATTAAAAAGTGACTATAGCCCTGTTATCAATTACAAGGCAAAGGAAGAGTAATCTCTTTGTCTTTACAAGTGTGGTACATTGTTCTTTGGATATTTAAAAAAGAAAAAATCCTTTCATACTTAAGATAGAGTTTTTAACAAAGCAGGCAGTAAAAATAATATGTGACCCATTCCAAAGATTAGCACATATGTTTGAACAAAACAGTCTGAACACTAGGGAAGGAGGTACAGGGAGAAGGTCCATACAGACAAAACCAAGTTCCTCCAGCTATTGCTGGACACAGTTCAGAGTGGTGGGACATTAACCCCAAAATGGAAATTTCCCACGAATCCCCTTTCACTTGATAGGCAAAACCCATGCAAGTGTTATAAAGCACTCTTTTGTCTTAATCTTACACCCTGAAAGTGGTGATATGCACTATGTTCAGTACATGTCCGTTTTCCTACTTCTCTTGTAAAACTGTTGCATGAGCCAGCTTCAACAGTGAATTGTGCCTCGTGGAGAACCTCTATAGATCTTTAAAAAAAAAAAAAAGTGTTTCTTTAGCAGTGTATTGCTCATGTGGGTGCAATCTTTAGCCCCAGGGAAGTTGATAATGTCTTTTAAAACCAGAGTCATGTTTTACCAATATGCATTTATCATAATTGGTGCTTAGGCTATATTTCAAAGCCTATTGTCTTAACATTTTGTACAAAACAAAACAAAACAAATTATTTGTGGTTGGAGAAGTGGCTTGACAATCATTTGGGCTTTGAAAGTAGTGACTGTGGTTTAATGTGAATGCTGTACCAGGAGTCACAGTATTGGGTACAAGTGTCTCCTGTGGTATGACCACTTTTTTCTCTAGTCCTCTACTATGAGGGGAGTTGATTTTGCATTTTGCAGAAAGAAACAGTGCAAACCCTTTACTGCTGTGTTTTGCTGACATTCATGTTTACTTGTTTTAAATTGATCTGTTTTAAGTATGAAAAGCTTATAGTAGTCTCCATTATAAATCCATAGTCATTTTTTTTTCTTTTTAAAATATTTTTGCAGTGCTGGGGATTGAACCCAGAGCCTCACATATCCTAGGCAAGTGCCCTACTGCCAAGCTACATTCCCAGCACTATAATCATCTGTTTAAGCTATTATGTATTTTAAAAGCACACTCTGTTGTGTTAAAACAGAGGTAACGACATTCCTTCCCTAGCACACTAGTAGAAAAAAATTCTTGAAAACTGGACCCCAGTGAATGAAGGTGCTGTATGAAAGAGCCCTTGCTAAATAATATTTGTCACTGACCTCAGTCATGACCATTACAAGGAAATGGCTGCCATTCTATAATAGATGGATACTCTCAAACAAGACTCAAAATATATCATTACAACTGGCAGATGAAGAGAATATACTAGACAGAGTGAAGTATATTTATTTTTCTTTAAACATAAGCCAAAAATTAAAAAAAAAAAAACCGTCTAGAACTCTGAAGAGCAAGAATATACTCTAGAATTTGCTTCGGCATGTATGAGGACCAAATTACTTGTTAGACAGTCAATTTTAAAAACTGGGTTATGAAAGCGAAAGGGGGAAATGGAAGTTAGCTTCTGGCTTAGGTTTGGGAATATTAAGTGATCTTGCTGAGACTGAATCCAGAGCCATTTCTTCAGTTTCTGACTTTGCCAAAGTGTAGATAACTTTTATCTAGCAGTATTTTGGGAAAAAAAATGGACTGAATGGTTTACTGTGTAGTCTAGATAGTTGGTCACATCAGACCTCCCGGGATTTACTCTAGTTAGGTGAGCTACTTGAAGATGGTGATTTCCCTAAACCTTTTTTGTTCTGTAAAACTGCTCTGGAAATCTTGAAAGGCCCCGTGTTCTCACGTGGTTTCTAGCTTCTTCATATGCAGCCCAAATTAGGAAGTGCAGAAACATATGACAGTGAAAAACAGGATTCAGCAGACTTCCAGAAGTTATGGGATCTGAGGGGAGATTCGCCTGTAGTTCTGGAGAATAGCTCAAGTTAAATCTTCTTTCCAGCCAATGGCTCTTCCTACTTATCCACACTTGGTACAACCCCCCGGCACATACTTAGATATCTTTTAAATAGCCCTGAATTAGTTCTAATTATAAATAGGGAGAATAAACTGCCCCAAATGTTCTTAAACTGAGCAGCCAAGTTAAAGCACTCACCCTCAGAAAAGGTAAAAGAAAATATGGCAGCTCTGTGCCTCATGAAAGGGTTGGGGGATTTTTGTTTGTTTGTTTGTGTGTGTGTTTGCTTGCTTCAGGTTTTTTTTTAAGAATAAGCATTGGTACACTGGGTTGGAAGTGACTCAGCATATCCTTTTTTATTGTAGTAAGCATTCTGAAGCACCCCCTTTTTACTTCCTTTTGGTTTTTCATTACAGTTGGTAGCCATCTCATTAACTGTTTATGACTGTTGTCTCCTTGTGGTTGTATAACTGTGTGAGCTTGCTCACAGACTTTTTTATCCTGTTTTTAGGAAGAGAGAAAAACCAGGTCTTGAAAGATTAAAATGACTCAAGCAAGGGATTTTAAAATAAAGCTGTATATATTCTGAAGAATTTTAAAAGCTAACAAATTATTATTTGCTTATTGAAGAACAAATATAGTCTGGGAATCCCAGAATGTCAAGCCAAAGCTTAGTCTAAAAAGTCATCATCTTTCAAAGATTTTAATAAAGAATTTTTTTGAGGAGACCTCTGTCCAAAATGGTTTGACTGGCCTCTAGATTCCAGTTATTTATTTTTTTAAAATAATGTACGGGCTGGGGATGAGCTCAGTGGTAGAGTGCTTGCCTACTAACTCTAGTGGTAGAGTTCCAGCCCCAGCCCTGGGGGCAGGGGTGGAGGAGAACAAACTGCCTCTCAATCCTTGAGTCTCCTATACAGGAAAAGTGAAAAGAGTTGATATAATAGACTCTTTTCTCCAAGGATCTCCTCTAGAAGGTCATATATCCAGCAGCATTCTCCAGTGAAGACCCACTCCCCAGCACCAAACTTGAATCTGGAGACTAAAGATTGCACTTTCGTAGTTTTTTGTCCAAATGCAATCCCATTTCTGTGCCTCTTAGCATGCAGTTAGATTTGGACAAACAAGATTCCTAAGGAATGACTTTATTAACTATAATATGGTTACAGCTATTATATAAATATATATATATATTCTGGTTATAGTTCTAATATGGAGATATTGTGTGTGATGCTGGCCTGTGGCAGTCTGTATAATGCTTCAACTTGTACAGAGGAGGCCAGGCTTGAAGCTGAGGTGTGGCCTGAACCTTCCCTGTGTCGACTTTTTACTTTCCAACTGTCAGGATACCACTTTCTCCCTCCCTCTGCCTTTTTTAGTGGTATCTGGAATATACTCCAAAGAGTATTTCCTAGTCACATCATTAATTGATACTCTATATTTATGAATAACTTTCAAATGGACATAAAAAATTTGAACTCTGAAGCCACGCCCAGTACAGATACAGGGCAGTGTGTAGGTTACCACACCCGAAGCCTCAGCCTCAGCCTGGGTCCTTCTCAGCTACTGGGACAGGATCCAGGCTTTTTTTAAACCTCAGAGGTAGCAGTAAACTTTTTAGTATTGCTGTTAGCAAGTGTGTGTTTGCCAATAGATATCCATTGTACTAATGTGCCAACAAGTAAATGTTTATTGCACATCTGCTTCCACTGTGTCCCCATGGGCTCCCCGAAGAGTGTGAGGGGCCCCTCACCTGCAAGGGTGAGTGCTGCATTGACTACTGCTATCAGGATTGTGTTGTGTGGAATAATCATCTGCATAAATTTTATATACATAGTAATTTCCCTTTTTATATGTCAGGTAAATATTTGTAAAAGTTATACTCACACAAATGAAATTATTATAATGATTACTAATATATTTTTTCCATGTTTCATTGCCTGAATAAAAACTGTTTATCACTGTTAGATCTGGGTGTGTGTGTGGTGGTGTTGTTTCTAGTAATTCATTTTATCCCCAAGTGTGAAAATTTACAGCAGCTTTGCTTATTTTTATGAGTTCCATATTTCAGTCTAAAAATAGGAAAGATGACATTTTTCCCTACACTCACTTTTGAGGTTTTATGCATTTGGCTGAGTGTGTAATTAAAAACAAAACAAACTTTGGGATTCAGACCTTGCCATGTAAATATCCATGACTTTGCATCTGTGCAAACAGTTTTTAGCTGGGTGGGTGTTTCTTGTTTTTGCTTCAAGACTGTCTTACCCTGAGTATTTTTCAAGTCACCCCAAGCTTGAGCCAGAGCTGTGTCGACATTACGGCCCGCAGAAAATAGTTGAAGTTTTTTTGTTTCTTCTAGGTTAATACCAGGAAAAACTTTTTCAATACTAGCCAGGCCAACTCTCCCCTCAAGGGGAGCAGACAGGAAATTTCATGGGTTGTATTACTGGAAAAGATAGAGTCAAAGCTCCATTTGAAGACTAGGTAAGGATCCCCTAAGGAAACAAGAGCCCTATCACAATCTTACCATTTGACCATCCTAAGACATTGCAGTCAATAAAGTTCCTCAAAGGAATGTTTCACTTCAGTGTGTTCCTGAACTGCAAAGAGAACCCTATAAAAATCACAGGAATATTCTCCTTTTCTGAGAATTATTGGAAAAAATAAGATGGAACTTATCCTCTACTCTTCTAAAAGAGCTTTATTCTTGCATAACTTAAGACCACCAGTGTTCTTTTTTTTTTTTTTTTTTTTTTTTTAGTGGTACTGGGAGTGAACTTGCCTTGCCCATGGCAGGTAAGTGCACTACTAACCTACATCTACCTCGGCCTTTTTATTTTGAGGCAAGTTCTTGTTAAGTTGCTGAGAGTGTCATTGAGTTGCCCAGGTTGATCTCAAACTTAAGCCTCCTGCCTCAGTCTTCTTAGTAGCTGGGATTACAGGTACACACCACCAAGTCCAACACACCAATGTTTTTTTTGGCTTTTTTTTTTGTGTGTGTGTGTGGGGGGGGTATTTGTTTTTTCCACACAGGATCATCTTAGCAATCAATTTTCTTTTTATTTCCAGATCTGCTAGAGATGGAAGCCAGGGTCTCAGACATGTTCAGCAAGTGCTCTACACTGAGCTACATCCCCGGTGGCCACATTTTTATGAAACTATGACAGCAAATACCAGAAGTCATTGCACAAGTTAAGGATAAATATTGGTTTGTGAGATTAGCTTCAGATACAAATTTATGGGTAGTAGGTTATGACAAAAAAGCTTCTCATGGGGCTGGGATTGTGGCTCAGCGGTAGAACACTTGTCTAGCACGTGCGAGGCCCTGGTTTCAATCCCCAGCACCACATAAAAATAAATCAACAAAATAAAAGTATTGTGTCCAACTACTTCTTTAAAGTTTCTCATTATGGCAAAGTAGGCAAAATATGAAAAAAACACATAGGCAATTTAAGTTCATTCACAGTAGCAACTGCAATCCAGAGAGAGGAGTGATATGACCAAGGCTGTATGTTACCAAACCCTGTGGTTTTTACTCAAAATAGGTTAAATACTAATAGACACTTATTCTTTTTTTTTTAAGCTCTTGAAATCCAAGTCCTCCCAGGTTTGTATGGATTTATATCATTTTGTAAGTTTCTAGGCATATAAGAACCAATCAGTCCCAAATGTGGTTTAACTATATTTGTTCACCAAATACTGCTGCATTTGCAGTTTAAAATGAAACATGAAAAAAAATAACTTTTTCATGTTTGATTGAAACTTCATTTAAATATAAATGATATGCTAATTAAAACTATTTTTTTTTCCCAAAAGAAAGCCATTCCTTGTCTACATTTCTTAACTCAGTCATTATGGGTTATTTTACCTAAGGTGTATTCCTAAAGGTGGGAACAGTGGTGCTTCTGATCTTCGAGATAAGTCTAACCCCCAGTATGGAACAAGAAGGTATGGAGTTGTTCAGACAGTGCTGAACATGTCTAGAAGGGAAAACTTAACAGAAAGGATGTTCACACAGGGTAAATACTAGGCTATTCTGAACAACACAGATTGGGTTCTACCTAGGATCAGACCACAGCTTCTCAGTTACTTATCTCCAAGGGCTTCAGTTTTTTAAAATTCTGGCCTAATAGTTTGTACCTCAGAAGATGATTGTGAAGAGTCCAGCAGGAACGTTAGCATAGTGCCTGGCCCTCAGGTCCTCGGTAAACAATTATCACCATCTAAAACCTAGAATCTAAGAAATTTCCAGAGGCTGGATGGTAGAGTCTATGCCTAGCATGTGAGAAACCCTGGTTTCATCCCCAGCACCTCATAATAAATAAAATAAATTCTAATGATGGCTTCCTTGTAAAGCTGAATGATTTTATTGGTTTTCTTCGGCATACCAAAATTACAAAGCTTTGGAAATTTAAAGTTACCTAACTTTGTTGTTTTCTCTGAGAGTAGCAAGAAGGGAAGGAATTGAAAATTAACTGAGGATAAGAAGAGGTCCCAGGGCTGAGGTTGTGCTCAGTGGTACAGCACTTGCCTAGCACATGCAAGGCCCTGGGTTCGATCCTCAGCACCACATAAAAATAAAATATTGAAAATATTGTGTCCAACTACAATTAAAATAAATAAATAAAAGAAGAGGTTCCAAAGTTGGGGCAATTGAGTTATAACGTGGGAAATGGAAATTCCTGTTTGTGTGTTACCACCTACCTCAAGACTGCCCAGGCCTATGCCAGCTATAAAATACCAGATTTCTATTATCTCTTTTTCTTTTGCCAAAATGTACAATTCTTTGAAGTTCTGTTTCTATGGAAACAAATGTTCAAGAACAGATATACCTCAGCTAACAGAAATTTATTTTTTATCCAATTTAAATGAAAGGGTAACTGATATTTGAGTTTTATGTGTGTCAGGTTTCCTAACAAATATGGCACATCACCTATTCCATGTAAGTAGGATTGTTTTTTAACTGATGGGAGAAATGAGGCTAACACACTTATAACATCAGTTGGCTAGGAAGGTGGCACTAGCATTTGAACTCAGATTTCTCTGATTTCAATTCCCATTCTCCTTAAGACCGCTCTCTAGAATATAGTAGCTAACAATACAGAGGACTTCTTATTCACTAAGTGAATTGTCTTGCCCTTTCTTCATCTCATGTAGGAATAATTCAGTGGATAGCAGAGAAGACTTTGCCTGATCATATCACCAAAGTTCAGAAGTATGAGAATATGAACCCCAAATCAAAACTGCATAATCAATTGCAATTCTGAAGCATCAGTGTTCAGGGAAAAGAAACTCCAACTCTCCTTTTTTTCAGGGAGCCCTGTCAGATGGGAAGAGCTTTGCATAGAAGTCTGAGACATGGATTGTGGTCCTAGTTTTGGTCAGCTGCATGGGGTTTTGGATTGAGAACACCAGAGGAAACCTTCCTGCAATTTTGTGATTTTACAAGTTCCCCTCTATGATGCTGTGCCAGACAAAAGATCCCCCAACTTCTTCCATTTAAAGTCATTAAAATACCTGCTCGGGATGTGTCGACAATAGTGGGTTTCTCACAGCTGGCCAGTGTGCAGAAATTTTCCCCATGTTTGCTTTGGCTACAGCATTCAGAAAGGTGAAGTCACCAGCCCACATCACAGGATAAGGGAAAAAGCCTGGGCTCAAATCCCAAATCAACATCCAAGACTCTGCTCTCGTTTTCTCTGGCAGCCTGCTCCTCTCTGGACCAGTTTTTGTCCCCTAGATGAAGAAACTGGCTATGTTCTTGAAGTCCTCTCCCAAGGGTAAGAGTGTCATCATGCTGCTGTACCCAGCCAGTGTCCCTATGATTCAAGCAGACACACTCTAAATTCTCTGGAAAAGGCCCACAGACTCAGTAGTTGAGTTACAACCCCTGTGAGTTGACTAACCTGTATTTTCTGCTTTTCTGAAAATAAATCAAAATGTGTTGAGTTCTTTGGATGTGCAAACTCAATCACAAATATTCAACTATGAGACGTCATGTATAGACTTAGGTATTTTTCTTCTAGACATTAAAATGACACAATTACCTGGTGAATGCAGGCATAATCCCAATATTTTACTAGCATATTAAGAGTCCAAGCCCTGGCCAGGCGTGGCAGCACATGCCTGTAATCCCAGAATCTCAGAAGGCTGAAGCAGAAGGATTGCAGGTTCAAAGCCAGCCTCAGCAACTCAGGGAGGCCCTAAGCAACATAGTGAGACCCTGTCCCAAAATAAAAAATAAAAAAGAGGCTGGGGATGTGGTTCAATGGTTAAGTGCCCCTGGGGTTCAATCCCTGGTACCAAAAGAAAGAAAAAAAAGAGTCCAGGCCCTCATGGTGGTGTACAATAATCAGTGTGCCTTCTATTTCTCTGAGAGGTTGGCTCCTGCTAAAATTTGTTTATGAAGTCCTGACTTTTCCAGACCCGTTTTTTATTTATTAGTTGATTTTTATCACTTCACCATTTATCAGCAAGAAAATATGACATCTAAAATGTGATTTTACTTCCTACATCAGCTTCCAGTGCAAATGTGCGTGAATGGTCACTGGAGGGCTCCACTCCCAAAGTCTTGCAGTCTTTAGGGCCATGCCTTTCAAACGGGAAGACAAAAACCCTGTTAAGAGACTGAATGAGAAGAGAACACAAAAGGATGAATGCTTGTTGTTCAAGCCCATGGTGTAGGTGAGTACTGTTTTAGGAACATTTGACTATACTTACATGTATATATGTGTGTACTGGGTTTCAATTTTGAATGCCTTGGGTTGGGGGCCTGAAAAGTTTAGAACTATTTTAAAGGCTGGAGATGTAGCTCAGTGGTGGAGTACTTGCAGGAAGCCCTGGGGTCAACCCCTGTATAGAGGTATGGGTATAGGATAGGGAGGTACACAAAATTATTTTGAGAAACTTAAAATGTCATTAAACTTTATGTCACGGAGGGGAGAGATGCTATTGGATTGGCCCAGGG